CATTCAGCCAAACTTTGCATCATCCAGTTTGAGCAATTTCTTGGCTGGCGTAATGTGATCTGAGCTGGGTTACAGTTGGTGTTTTCCCCCCCTGTACAAATCAATTTTTAAAAGGCTATTACTGCTAAAAAGAAAACAAATGTGCTTTAAGAAGAGGAAATGGGACAAGACTTGGTACAAAAACTATTTTTATCTTCCCACGGTGACCCTGGACATGGGTTGCAGCACCAAATGAAATGAAACAGTGATGGCATCAAATCAGCTACTGAATCATTTCTGTTGCCTGAAAACAGGCCACTGAATTCCTCTATTATGCAGACAAGGGATGATGGAAGAGCCCTTAACAAGAGTCCTTAACTGCATATTATTAAAGAGGCCCAATAGGATGCTCTGCAGAATGGCCTTTGTTAGGAGAGATCAAAGGTCCACCTGATGCAGAACTCTGCTTCCAACAGATACTCTAAAACAGTTGCTTTCATAGGCTAAAGCCCATTGCACCAGGACTCCACTGAGCAAAACTGGCAACACCCACAAAAGCTTCTGCTTCACCGCACCCATCAGTCTTTAACATGTCTACGTCTCTTTTTTGCTTTTGCTGCCAGACTCCCCCATTAAAATCTGCCTCTGATGCCCAGTGAAGCTAGCAAGCAGGGCATAGTCCTCATGTCTTTCCTCTCCCTGTGTACAATGTAGTTCCATTCTGAGGCCCCGGTCACATGGGCCGGATATCGCGGGGGGGAGGCATGGCTAATTGCCCCGGAGGAAACTAACGCACGGCCGCCCGAGCACACGTCCCAGTCGAGGTCCCATGGTTAGGGGGGAGATGCCGACCAGATGGGTATCCTGCAGCGCGGCACAGAAGCCGCACCACGTGATCGCACTAGCAACTGCTCTTTGTGCACATGCGCTGTTGGGCGCTGTTGCGGGCGCCAGATGCCACGTAAGTCCACCGGAAAAGACGGGCGCCAGATGCCACGTAAGTCCACCGGAAACGCGATCAGACGCCCGCCCTTGGCCCGCGGTTTCCAGAAACTAGTACCTCATAGATACTAGTTTTTTAATCCGCACCTTCGCACCTTTTTTAATCCGCACCTTGTTTTTGAGGCAAGAGATCCGCACCTTCAGCGGGGAGCCACGGGTTCACCACGGGAGCACTGCGCTTCCCAGATGTTGGGGTGTGAGCGCGCCCAGAAAATCCCGTGCCTCTCCCGCAGCAACTTTGCCATGTGACTGGGGCCCGAGTTACCATGACCAGCAGCCACTGACAAGCCTCCCCTCCTGCATGAATTTGTCTATTTTTAAAGCTATTCAAACAATTGGTCACTGCGACTTTTATAGCAGTAAATTCCATAAATTGTGATGTGGGGAAGTTATTGGGTTTTTTTCTTCCCTGAACTTTTTTCATAGGTATTTTATAGCTTTTTCTCTCTCTCCCATAATGCTAGAATTTGGGGGCAGCCAATGAAATTGTTTGGAAATATGTTCAGAACAGATGAACCAAAATACTTTATTACTCAATGAGTAATTAAACTGTGGCATTCACTGCCAGGGAAGGTAGTGTTAGCCATGAGCACAGAGACAGATTCATGGAGGAGAGGTCCATCAGTGTCTACTGGCCATGGTGACTGAAGGGAGTCTCCATATCCAGAAGCAGCAAACCAGTGCTGGGAGACAGCAGCAGGGGAAAGCCTCTATGCCCTGTTCACCCTCCAGGGCAACTGGCTGGTTGCTGTGTGAAGCAGGATACTGGACTAGATGGGCCGCTGGTCTGATCCAGCAGGCTCTTCTTCTGTCCTTATCCTAAATGTTTGTGTCTCAGTGCTGTCAAGTCGTTTCTGACTTATGGAAACCCTATGAAATGCAGAAAAGCAGATTTCTTCTCAAGTCAATTTTTACTCTGTACATCATTTCATAAACCTCTCTCTTCCTTCCACCATCTTTCACCTTAGCTGGACAAATACAAACAGGCCCAAACATCTTAGCAGTTTCAGAATGTGAGATTTCAGGCTACAGTTTGTATGAACTGCACTGAATATATCTTGGGGGGGGGGTTCTTGGTTTTACTGGGCCATGTGTATTTTATTTGCAATGTACCCTGAAACCATAGAAAGGGCTAGAAATTTTAAAAAAATTAACCAAGAACTGTGAGCCAGATTATTGGCCCCTCTCAACTGACCTCGAGATCAGTGCCGTGTTACTCATGCCTGCCCTGCTGGGGTGAGCCATGCCTTCTGCTTGACCACTCAGCTGGGCTGGGCTGTCTGCAGAAATGAGAAACATGATTCAAAGCGTCATCCACTGTAGAAACAGACATGAGAGGAGCTACATGAATGTCAGATGACAACAGCATTAAAAATGCTAGCGCTGTCGATAAAAAAAATGTGCCTCCACTCAACCCACATATTCCCTTCTCCTTCCAAAGAGATTGACTGCAGTCCTTGCCAACCCAAGGGACATGAACGGTGGCATCATTGGACAAAGAAATAAAAGCTTAGCAATTTTTAAAGAAACAATTTGGCCTCAGACATCCGTAACTTAAATCAGAGACAAAGGCAAGGCCTGCTCATCTCTTGCTCCCATTCTCTGCCTCTTCCCCAAATGGGAAATTCCTTACCAAATGGTTTATCTTCTTGGGCTGCGGTCACACGGAACATTAGCCACGCTAGAGAGACGGAAGTCAGGCGGAGTTTCCGGGCGTGATCTCACCGGCACATCTGGGAAGCGTAGCGCTTCCGTGGCTCAACTGAGGCTTCCCGCCGAAACCGCGCTGCTAAAAACTAGTACCTCGGAGGTACTAGTTTCCGGAAACTGCGGGGCAAGGGCGGGCGTCTGATCGCGTTTCCGGTGGCATCCGGCGCCCACCCATGTCCCCTTGCAAACAAGGGGGTTTTTTTTCCAAGTCTCCGTGGATGCGCACAAGCACCCAACGGAGCATGCACATTTATGGTGTACACGACAAAAAAACCCCACCCGTTTGCCGCACCGCGCACTTCTTTGTTGCGCGCAGGATTGTCCTGTGATCAGCACCTCTCCTTTCCCACGGAACCTCCACGGGACCTCCACGGAACCTCCAGGGGAGGTCTGATCGCTTAACCGCGCGTTAGTTTGCCCCGGGGCAAACAGCCACGCTTCCCCCCCGCAGTTTCCTGCCCGTGTGACGGGAGCCTTGGACTAGTTTTGAATTCTGAAGGTTTTCCTCATCTTCTTTTTCCCCCTCTAGTCTTTTTTTTTTTTTTTTTACAAACTCAGCTCTGATTAGATTCAGTCAAGCTAATAAATTAGGTTCAGTTAGTAAGTTTTGTCCTCTGTTGTTTGTGCAGGTTTGGCAGGGTCAAAAAAGCACATTCTTTTGTTTCCCTTTAATGAACAGGCAAAGGCCTGGTCTTGACATGCAACACACTGAGGTGGTAATAAAGTTGCAGCATGCCAAAGTAGTACAATGGACTGTCCCAATTCAGACTACAAGCAATAGATTACACTTCTCAAAGTTCCTGATCAATAATCATTCCCTATAAATGCAAAACTATCACACCACGTAGAAGGCAATGTCAGAAACTTTCTTTTTGATAAGCTAATTTTTATATGGTTTTACATTGTTGTTCAGTCGCACAGTCGAGTCCGACTCTTCGCGACAGTTTTACATAGGGGAGCATTAAAATTCAACGGTTCCCACCTGAGTCTGAAATGGTACACTGCTTTTTATCACTTCAAAATTCTACCATCTCATTTAGCTGCATGTATGTACCAGGGCTTTACCTAGAAGCTGAAATGTCTACTCAATTATTTAAAAATGCACATAATACAAACAGTATAGATGTGGATTTAGGATTCTTTGGAACAAAGCTACTTCCAATTGTTTATTCTATTATAGCAGGCTTGTAAATACCAAATCAACTGTTTACCTGGGGAGTAAAAGTTTCCTCTAAGTGAGCAGGCAGGGGAATGATGGCAGAATTGGGATCTCCCCCCACACCATTTCAGGTTACTGACGTGGTGTGTCACAAATGGCTTGCATTAGCATGTTCTGGCAATACAAGACGTTATGGGCTTACAAGTAATTCACTTGTTTCCAGTGCTGTGCGACAAGCATTTCTGCCTTGTTAACAGTTCAGCCAGCAGAGTTCATTCACACAGCTGAACCAGAAGATCACCAGAATCAGCCAACACACAGGCTTCTGGGCAAGAATACAAGAGCCAAGCTATTCTACGCTGCACACAGTCTCTTCTCTCCCCTTTCACATCAGGGGGCACGGCAGTCTATAAAAATTCTGGCTCCTAAAAAAAATCTTACAAAGGAAATCAGAAGTATACTTAGTTCAAAGTAATGTATCTGGACTCCATATACATTGCACTGCATCAGAAATAATTCCAGTGCTTTGTACAAGAGTTCTTAAGACCTAAAACAGTGTGTGTAGCAGGATTATTCTCTAAAGCCTTTCCAAACAATACAGACAACATTTCTCCACAGGCCTGTGCAGACATCAATGTGGTCTGACTCTCAACCAGGATTAGGGAATAAACCATGGGCTTGCATACTCTACTCCCTCTCAAGTGCAGACTCCTTCTGCTGATCTCAGCCATGGCTAAGGGTTACACTGACACTGCCAATGAGCCAGGGTTAACACTCAACCAGGGTTTCAGCTTAACCAGGATTTGAAGCTGTTATAGTAAGAGAGTGTCCATCAATTTAACTCAATTCACCAAAAGATACAATAGCTTGTTCCAGAACTCTTCCCCTAGTCAAGCCTGCCATCTCCTCTCCTGGAGAAGGAAACAGGTTGTACAAGTTCAGCAAGTGGCAATTTTCCTAAAGACAGGCAGGCTGTGTTGCTAACATCCTCTTCTGAAAAGGCGCATAGGTTCCCGCCACGTGAACACAGAAGTCTGCACCACTGAAGGGCAACACAACGCATAGCAAAGGGCAGGTTTGCACTGCTTCTTCGTTCCAAAATTCAGCTTCCTGAAGCGCTGCTGGTATGAGAAGCCTGCAAGTCCAGCCATTAGCAGCAGCCTACGTTGGCTTGATGGTTGGTTTCTGAAGCCTCCAGTGAAGTTCCTTCTATATCTGTAATGAGGAAACAGAGAAAGGATCAGATTAATCCCTTCTGAGCATCACTTTCCAGGAATCTAACAACTATCAATGTCTCATTTACAGTTTTCCAGAAATTCTTGCACAGCCTTGCAGAGAAAATGTTATACAGACAGCTTCTGTGCTTTCAGCATTAAGTCTCCATGACAAATGGAATTTGGTTTTCATATCCACCACTCTTAACATGATAAAAATTTCGAAGGGTAGCTGTGTTGGTCGGCAGTAAAACAGCTACATTTGAGTCCGGTAGCATCTTAGAGACCAACAAGAGTTTCAGGGTACAAGCTTTGGAGAGTCCAAAGGGAACTTTGACTCTCAAATGCTTATACTGTAAAGCTCTTGTTGGTCAATAAGGTACTACTAGACTTGAATCAAACATGATCAAAGTTTTTTTTAAGCTGATGATTACTAAACATACTGATAAGGTTTCCTGCACCAATCTGTGCCATGCGGCTGTTGCTCTTCTCCAGTTCCATCAGCATGGACTTTTCAAAGGCCAAGGCAGCAACTCTGGAAAAAAACTCCCTGACATTTTCCCCTGAAGAAACGGGGGGGGGAGAGAGAGAGAGGAAGAGAGAGAACTTGAGTGACAACTCACTTGAGTGATATACAAGGCCACACGTGTGCTGCATATGGAGAACCTGTCAAATCTGGCCAATATCTTTCCTTCTAAAAAGGTGAGAGCATGTACTTTGAGCATCCTTCCTAAAAAATATAAGGTTTCAAATTTACTGGGGTAGAACCTTCTGGCACATCTTGGAGTAAGACCAGCTAGAACCAAAGCATGTACGCAGTTGAAAATGATCAAATGCTGAGTACAGCTACAAAAGAAAACTGCTTTTCCTAACACATACGCAGACAATCTCATAGGCAATATGACATGTTAACTCCTGGAGATGACACTCATCCCTTGCCATTTTGCCCACACTCTGCCATACTTCAATGAGCTCAACTAACCTGTTTTGGCTGAAACTGACCAGTACTCAGCCTGCATCTCATTGGCATAGTGAATGGCATCCAGTTCTGTCCGCTCACATGCAGCAGTGGACTGAAAATAAAACAAAACACCAGGAATTGCTTACTCTGCAAATTATATTGCTTGTGTGTTTTCTCCCCTACACAACCTCAAGCTTTTTATCTGAGGCAGGGGTTCAGAAGCTACTGAGCAAGGTCATTGTAGGCATCCTAGCATACAATGGGGCAATGCCTCAAGGAGATTTTTCATCAAGGACAGCAAAAAGGCAAAGCTTGAGAACTCTTCAATAGCCCACGGACTCTATGTACTTATTCGCTCGCCGCATGAAGGAAAGTTCCTAAAAGCAAGATGCAGTCCTCAAGGCCATCTCTCCAATAAGATCCCACTTGACAAAGGAGTTAAGCAGGGCTGTATCCTGGCTCCTCTACTTTTTAGCTCTTGTATCAACTCCTTGGTGCAACACCTAAGAAATCCAACCTTCCATTCTCCAAAGCTTGTTGATAAAATGATTCCTGCCTTACTGTATGCAGACAATACTTTCATCCTATCTTATTCACAAGTGGGCATTAGGAGAGCACTCCATGCCTTCACCTCGTACTGAAAAGAGGAGCACCTTGTGATAGACTACCAAAAAACAAAAGCCCTCATCTTTACCAAAAAACATCAGATCCATAGATGGCAAATAGAGGGCCACAACACTGAAAAAACAAAAACCATTAAATATCTTGGTATAGTCTTACAGTCATCTGGACACTGGAGAGCTCAGACACTGCATGCTGCAGAGACTCTGTCATTCTAGTAATCTACTTCACAAAAGGAGCCTCCTTTATCCCTGCAGCAATCAAGGTCTTCCAAGGAAAGGTTGTCACCCAGCTCTTATACGGTTCCCAGCTCTGTATTTACAAAGAAAGGTGCTCGCTGGAAGCAATACAATCCAAGTTCCTATGAACAATCCTTGGAGTCCTGTGATGTATTCTGAATGCCCTTCTTAGACTAGAGGCTGGGCTGATCCCCTTAAGAGACTCGCGTCCACCTACTGGTTAAAACTCATCTTCAATCCAGTGGGTCTACTACCCTTGATCCTTGCTGATAGCCACCATTCAATCTGTCAAAGAGCAACTGAGGGGAAATTCCAGAGGCACAGCCTCTCCCCCCAAGTCTTACTGCATCTTGGGTACCAAAAGGCAAAAGAAATAATTAAACGGTGGTTCTTGGATCATGCCCTACAATCAGATAGGGCACAGATACAGAAATATTCAATTGTACTGCAGTATGCCAAATGCTTTCAACCAGCAGATTATCTTAGATCCTTTGAGATCTCCAAATATCAGAGAATTTTTACCCTGGCATGCTTTAATGCCTTACCTTCTGCCCTCCTGGACAGCACATACCATCGTGTCCCACTCCCTCAACAGCTCTATCCATGCCATATAGGGAAAGTAGAGTCTATTGAACATGCTCTGCCGCACTACTCATTCTATGATGTCTGATATCAATATATCGCTCCAACATTGTCAACTTTACCAGGAAGATCTGAACAACTTGATGTCTCTCTCCTTCTTGCAGACTCTTCCCAGAACATAACTAATAAAGTTGCCAAATTTTGCCTTTGGGCATGTGGGATATGCAAGAAGCTGACTGAGTCTCAATGATTTTACCTCTCTATCGGAGGAGGGCATAATTTTCTCTGTCCCCCCACAATCCATGCTCACTGTTTTGTGCTTTTTTATCTTTTTGTTTTCTACTATTACTGCTGACTTTCCGGTGCTGATCTTGTATTGAAATAAATAACTAATTAAAATCAAGGACAGTAACTTCATAATAACCATTTTCCTCCTCCCGACATATGGCCAGGTATGCCAGGAAGAGGGAAAAGGCTACTCTGAAGTTCCTGTCCTGGATAAGACTGCTGCAAATCATTCAGCACTTCTAAACCAAGGACTCCCATAGAAAGTATGGACTTAGGATGTGAAAAGGATTCAGGAGAGGTCTTCCCTCTTCTTACTGGGATATTTGCTGGTAGGTATTCAGTCTTGCTACTGGTCTTTGCTGGCAAAAGGACTTGGAGCCAAACAAAAACTGCAGCACCCTTTGCCACTGATCAGAGTATTTTGCACCCTGTGTGAGTGACTCTGGGTACCTGAAGGCTTTTGAAGCACGATTAGGCACCCAGTCCTATCAGTCTGAACTGTGAGCACACCTCCCAGCACAGTTTTCACCTTTAACTCCAGCTGACTCTTTGTAAACATCCTAGTAATGGAGAAATTATGATGAACCTTTTCTAACCCCTATCGTGCAGCAGGACCAACTATCTACCAGCCATCTCAGAACCAGTGCGACACAGCAATGAGACTAGGACTGAGGAGACCTGAGTTGAAATCTCTATAGATATGACACTCACCTTGGACCTCTTTTGGCCTAACTTACATCCCAGGGCTGAAGTGAAGATGAACGAGAGAGGGAAGAATGATATGTGTTGCCCTGAGCTCCTTGGAAGAAGAGTAGCTTACAATACGACAGACAGCAGGTGACATACGGAAGAGATAAAGGAATTGTATTTAGGTGCTGTACAGGCATAAGTACAGGAACTACTTTTTCAAGCAGCACCATTGGTTTGATGAGCTACCTACCACTAGATCTTTTTTTGTTCCAACTAGAAAGATGAAGCTGGACCCTGGTTCATTCTCCCTCAGTGCATCCTGAAGCCACTGTCTGAAACACAAAATGAAGAGAAATAGTATGCTTTCAAATGTCATAAAAGAAGATGCAGGATCAGCCCATTGTAGAGACATCTGTTTGGAAACAGGGAAGGCACAGACAGGCCCAAGAGCAGGTCATTACAATTCTTTACACTTATGTGCAGGAAAAGGCACCCCTGTTGTAGAAGTAGCAGCAAACTGTGTGGAGGTGGGTGGGGATGCATATGCACACCCCATTCCTGCCTCAGTGTCATGTCGGTACAGAAGTGCTCACACACTAACAATCATGCCAAGCCGCAGCTACCCCTGGCATCCAGGCAACCCCCCCCCCTTTCCCCCTTCATGGCTTAGCTGCAGTTAAAAGGACACTATGACTCTCAACAGTAAAATAAAAAAGGCCAGTCAAAGGGATGGTGGGGGAATACAGAACTTAGCTGAGCCATTCTGAACAGACTCCTCAGACTGGTTGTGGGTGAAGCTTCCACATGGATGTCTCGCTTACAGCTACCCAGAGCTTCTTCCTGAGAGCTGGATCAAAGGAAAACCTTCTTTGATCCAGCTCAAATGAGAAAGCCCAGGAGCCCCAAAAGTTGTGCTTGGAAAAAACATGACAGCATGTGGAAGATTTTAAAAAAATGCAGGGGCATCCAGACATCCACACAGGGAAATATCCCCATGTGGAAACAGCTCCTATAGCACATTACCCCAGAAAGAAGCCATACATTTTTTTCACATGTCCAACAGAGAAAGGAGCTGATCTTTTGCCTGATCATGACACCCCATGGTCTGGGTGAGGAGGGACACCTGAGGCCAAGTGAAAAATGCTTCCCTGTAAAGGGCTCTCTCATGTGCAGAACCATTTCAGCTACACTGCAAGCTAACTGCAAGGCAGAACTGAGATGTAATGAATTAATTTACAATATCTGTATCAATATTATAAATCTAATAAATAACGACACAGATATCCTGAGTTAATTTATTACATCTCCATTCCATCCTGTAGGCTCAATTTTTGTTCCAAATGTAGACACTGGGTTTGTACGGACCCCTGCTTCCAAGGGGATTACAGATGAGGTGGCAGAGACCCGAGGTGATGGAATGGGCTACAGTACTTCAAACTGCAGGTAGAGGACCACATTTTGGGATATTCTTTTTTCTTAAGAACTCCCTGCAAATATGGAACCTACACAGAATGAAAAAGGAGTGACACCATTCTCCCCGCTGAGCTACTTTTTGTTTGTCTGTTAAATTTATATCCCATTTTTTCCAACAGTCATCTCCCAAAGTGACTTATCATCTGCACACAGATTGTTATATAAAATAATGTTCAAAGCTTGAGTCTACCACCCCTGTTCTGAAGTGCTACAGTCCATTCTACCACCTCGTTCTCCTGCATGACTGAACCAGGTCTTAGTAATTAAGTACTACGGGGAAACAACGAAATAAAAATGACATTTCATAGTAGGGATGCTGTTATCTATACATGCATACAAACAACTGCTAGCATTTTCTCTAAAATTAGGTATGGAGGATGAGATGGCTGTATTGTTTGCCCTGAGACCTCCCTGTCTGCTATCGCTTTCGACATTGATAGTGGACCTTGGCTAGACTGGTGGCAAAAGGCTCTGTTAACTCATAATTTTTACTAGTGTAATCTACCAACAATTGTTAAGCTGACACATTTTGCCAAATTTATTCATTCCAAAACAGGATCTTGGAAAAATCCCCTATGGAATTGATCGTGGTGTGAAAATACAGTACAAAATAGAAAGAGGATATAAGAGAAATTAAGTAATCAAATTAAAAGAACAAGAGGAAGGGGCACGGGGTACAGGAAATTAAAAGCACAAGGAAAGCAATTGGCAGATGAACACACACCATATGCTCTTTCCTTTTCAAAAATACTGTTTTATACTGTGGTCCCCTTGGAGATGTTCTTCCTGCCCACCAAAACTAGGGAATGATTCAGCCAATCATTCCCATTTCAGGGGGGTGGGAAGAAAGCCCTGGAGCGTTGAGATTGTCTTTGGCGTAAAGCAGCAGCACTGATAAAGCAACAAGGCCAAGTTTAAAAAACAACAACCAGGTAATATCAGAGGCTAAGAGGAAGCAATGAGGATGATAATGTGTAAAGACAACAGAAGCACAGAGGGACCATCTGCTGCAGCTCTGACATTTATGTCAGTGGAGTTACTGCTGGGTTACAAGAGGATGAACAGATGGGAATCAGAGCCATACACTTTTAACTAGCACAGCTCATACCTTGTACACCTTCCTCTGTACTGCACATGTAGCAGAGCACGAAGGAATAGCTTTACTGCAGACAACAGTGGAGACAAAACAGCCAACCCAGCAAGCCTCAGCTGCCATCTTCTTAAACCCTATTGGAGCCATTAGGTACCATACCTTTAGAGACTTCCCTTGCTTGAAAGCGAGTCGAGTCCGACTCTAGGGTTGCGGTACTCATCTCCGTTTCAAAGCCGAAGAGCCAGCGCTGTCCGAAGACGTTTCCGTGGTTATGTGACCAGCATGACTAAACACCAAGGCGCACGGAATGCTGTTACCTTCCCACCAAAGTGGTACCTATTTATCTCCTTGCAATTTCTTGCTTTCGAACTGCTAGGTTGGCAGGAGCTGGAACTAGAGACGGGAGCTCACTCCAGCATGCAGCACACTTAGGTCTCGAACTGCTGAACTACCGACCTTCCACAGCCTGCAGTTCAGCGTCTTAACCACTTGAGCCACTGCTTTAGAGGTACACATTTTTGGGACACCATAGCTTGACATTGCATCCTTTCTTGTTTTGTACCTAATGAATCCCAGTTCAACTTTATGAGAGCTTTACATAAAAAGCTGTTGCAAACAAAATTTGCTGACTTACTTGGTATGATCCAAAGTCTGGATATCAGCCAAATCAAAGACCGTTATAATAACTGCAATGCAAACACAGGAAAATATAAAAGCTCGATGAAACAGCAGAATGCGAGTCTTTCTAGTTTCATTACACAGAAGTTAAAGGCTAAAGAATAGGAGGAATAAGTGAGAATGAAGGGATCACCCTGGAAGCAGCTCTCTACTTACTCTCTGCTCCTCTGTAGTAAGCAGATGCGATGCACTTGAACTTTTCTTGACCTGCTGTGTCCCATCTGGGCAAGGTAAAATAAGGAAAGTCAGATCAGTCCAAATGAGCACAACTTTAACAAACCTGATGAAGCTAGAGATGGCAACACATTGAAGAACAATGTGGCATGTTACTGCTTCATCAGAGAGTCTCTCTCTTTCATTAAAAAACATTCAATTCTCTAGTTATTGTTCTTTTTAAAAAACAAAAACTAGTCCCATGGCACATCCAAGACTGAGCTTCCCTATATCTGAAGAAGCAGGCTCTGGCCCATAAAAGCTTACACTACAACATATTTACCTGTTTTGGAGATGCCACAGGACCCTGTGCTATTTTTCTACAACAGACTGATGCAGCTTTCTTAAACAATTGTCATCAATATGGCCAGGAATACAGGGCAAGAATTACTAGACTTGACCAAAAAGACCATGGAAGATGCTCCTGCACACCAGAAACAGAACTGGTCTAGCTTCCCAGCTAAGCATGCTGTGATAGACTGTACTTTTTAAAAGCTTAGAAGTGCTGTACAAACAGCTGAAGGACTGTGAACGGTAAATTCTTTACAGAAACAGAGAGCTTTGAGTGACAGGCTGCTACAAGCAATCTTATTGGTTAGCATTAGGGGTGGGCACAAACCGGAAAAAATGGAGGCTCGTGGAGGTTCGTAGTTTTCATGAAGCACAAACTTCCACAAACGTCTCCATTGCACAAACTAGTTCGTGCTCTGGGAAGTTTGTGGGGCCACAGCCCCAACCAGAAGTGAGCTCATATAAGGGCATATAAGGCCTATAAAAGCCTTCAGAGCTCACTCTGGGAGGTCAATCAAGTTGGGCTGCCCGACTCAACTGAGCTCCAAGAGTGATCATTCTTGGATCTCAGTTGGCTGGCCCAACCCAGATGCCTTCAGAGTTCACTTACGGTTGGGTGACCCAACCCAGAAGTAAGCTCCTCCCCATTGCCTGGGGAGTTGATTGATCAGTGCAAGGCTGTTTGGCCCAATGAAGTGCCATGACTTTCCAAAACAAAACATAGCAAGTTGTGGATCGCTTCATTAATGAAGCAATCGCCAGAGGTGGCTGTTCATGACACATGAAGTGGCATGAGTCGTGATGACTTTCGCTTTGTGTGCTGCTTCATGCCCATCCCTAGTTAGCATCAGCTGAGCAGAGAAAGTCTTGAGAGAGCTGCATGCTGAGAAGAGGGTCAGTCAGATTTCTCCCTTGACTGGATGCAGTCTGATTTCAGCCTTAGCTGAGAGCAGTTTAACACAGACAGAGAACTAGGGGAAAGTTGGCAAGGAAGTTTGGGAAGTAGGCAAAGACTCCCATTCAGGCCAAGAAAAGGGGATATATCTTCTAAAAAGAGAAGAAAGTTCTCTACCCAGTCAAACAGGGAGTTAGCTCTGAAGAGTACAAAGATCCCTGGTCTGGTGTGGTTAGAAACTGCCTTTAGAAACCTTAAGAGTCAGTTGAAAACTCAAGATGAGTACTGGTGTTTCAAGAGAAAGGGTTTGGGTACTGCAAAGAGTCAGGGAATACTCAAATAAAATGTACTGAAGTGTTTGGAGAAAACACTGGAACAAAAGCCTTTCAACATAAAGATAAAGCCTTTCAACATAAACATAGTGTAACTGTGAATAGCTTAAGAAACTCTCATTAGCCTGATATATAAGAATTAAAGTCTGTGCATGTACTGGTTTTACCTCAGAAATTTCAAGCCCTGATTTCACCTGACCTTTTCCCTCTATGTTAAATAAAATATTTAATTATTTTTGAATTTCAAAATGCTTTGAGAGTGCGATTTAAGTTCTTTAAGTTAAAGTGGGCTCCTGATCCTTCCCTCAGGTTCCTGGGCTGAGTTAACAGCCAGATTATCATACTGTGACAGTGTGGCACAGCCAAAGTTCTTCAGCAAAGAAGAAAACACATTACTAGGGCAGCTCAGTCAGTAAAGGGATATAAATCTTAATAAATAAATATAAATAAATAAATGAGGGAGGGAAAATCTTGCCTTTGAGGGAGGGAAGTGTATGGGGCTATAATACATGCCAAAAAGGGAGTTTAGAGATCCAGAATAGAAATATCTGAATAGGGTTGTCGACAATTTAAATAACGTCTAGTTATGAGTTAATTAATTGATGTAACAGGCACAAATGCCTGAATAGGGCTGCCAACAATTTAAATAATATTTAGTTATGAGTTAATTAAGTGATTGAATTGAACGGTATTTCCATATCACAATCAATCAATATGGGTCTCTTTGAAACCATTAAACTGTAATGCACATACCTCTAAGGATATTTTTAGCATTGTCCAGACCAGAGATGGGTCTGAGTAAAGGAGCCTGAAGAAAGTATATATGGAATATGAAGAGGAATGTGGGACAAACAAGAAGAAGAAGAGAAGAAGAGATTGGATTTATACCCCGCCCTTCACTACCCAAAGGAGTCTCAGAGCGGCTTACAAATTCCTTTCCCTTCCCCTCCCCACAACAGACACCCTGTGAGGTAGGTGAGGCTGGCAGAAGAGCTAAAGTAAAGAGGAGGAGAGCAGACAGAAGGAGGGGATGATCTGAGTATAAACAAGCTCAGGAAAGTCAGGACTGAGAAGCAGTGTGGGCACAGAACTGACTTTCACACACAAAATGCCTCCATTTCATTACAGGAGCACTGGATGCAATTCCATATAATAGCTGTATGGGTTACCATCCCGTAATGAAAACTTTTAACTATTAAAGAATCAATATTTGTTCTATTATTTTCCCCATGTTCACAGACAGTAATTGTTTTAACTGTGTCAATTCCGATAATATAAAATACTGCTTAAGTATTCCCTGCCGTCCAGAGACCGATGGCTGCTCTGCTCTTCATGTCCAAACACAGAAACCTGTTTGTATGTCAAGGAAACCATGTTAAAGATGTCCTTTGTTCTCTAACAAGTGGTGGCTTTTCTTCAATATTGTCTTCTTTGTGCCTATCATAGCTCATTAGAACAAAAACAGCGTAAGAAATGCTACAGCACACACTGCAATTCTTAACATTGGAAATAATATATTGCCTACAGTATTTTTCTCTTCAATACTTGGTTGCTGTAATTGTTTTTATTAACATCAGATACCCTAAGGCTGTGATCTTAGGCATGTTTACTTCAGAACAAGTCCCACTGAATTCAGTGGAATTTAATTCCAAGAAGGCAAGCACAGAATTTGGTTGTACAGCTTATAGCCCTAAGAAAGAGGATTTATAACTGGAAAAGTCAATTGCCCCATATGAATAATGTTGGCTAAGGCTGAAACTAGACTTCTTGGTAAGAAATTCATGAACCTGCAGGGTACCCCAAATTGTACCATGGCCACAGCACTGGAGGAAGGATTTAACCCCTTTCCCCCTACACTACTTTATCAATGTAAACACTGCCGTCCCCCAATTGTACTGCCTTGGCAGGGGGAAATTAATAGGTGCTGGATGTGGGGGGGGCTTTCCTCCCATGAGGCAAATAGCAGATTCAGGAGGAGTAATATAAATTGGAAAGCTGGTGTTTGGATGGCAAGGGGTTCAAAATGCCTTCCCCAAAACTACAGCCTCAATCTCATCTTGCCTCTCCCATCAGTTGCTATTAACAATTGTTTTAAAAAATTGGACATCCCATCACAAATCCCCTACTATCATATTTAGTTTTGTCCAAACATGTCAGCTAGAGGTGATATTCAATTTCAATTCAAAACCTTTATTGGCATCGATCAGAATCATAAACAGCCACCCTAGAGGTGATATTATATACCACTAGGTAAAGCTTGATCTGGTTCTATCAGAAGTTCTATGTAAAAAAGAAAAAAGAGGTAGCAAGCACTGTTTGCATTCCAACTTACATTTGGAGACTATATGGAACTCCAGCTATCTCAAAACGTTCAATTTCAAAATCCACTCCAATGGTTGCCTTGTAATCACGGTCAAACACATCCTTACAAAACCTGCAATGGAAAAAAGTGGTGACTTGGATAGCTCAGGCAAGCCCGATCTCAGAAGCTAAGCAGAGCTGACCCTGTCAAGTATTTGGATGGGAGACCTCCAGAGAATACCAGGGCTGGAAGGCCAGAGGCAGGCTATCAAGCCACTTCTCTGAATGTTCTCCATGCCCCAGTAGGACTCTCTAGAGGTCGCCATGACTTCCAGGCACGGGCGCTCACACACCCACACACACAAATGCAAAAGTACCCCAAATTTTTTTTTTAGAAAGTTGAGGTGCAGGGGGAAACAGGGTAGAAAGATTGATCCATTGAAGAGGAGGAGGAGATTGGATTTATACCCCACCCTTCACTACTCAAAGGAGTCTAAGAGCAGCTTACAATCCCTTTCCCTTCCCCTCCCCACAACAGGCACCCTGTGAGGTAGGTGGGGCTGAGAGAGCTCTGTCGAGAACTGCCCATGAAAGAACAGCTCTGAAAGAACTTGTGAGTGTTCCAAGGTCACACCAGCAGCTACATGTGGAGCCGTAGGAAATCAAACCCAGTTCTCCCAAATTAGAGTCCATGCTCCTAACACTACACCAAACTGATATTTTGCTAGAGATGTATAAAGAAGGAGGAAGAGAGAAATTTTCTTATCTAGGACTTGCTTATTCTTGTTGATTGAAATAAATCTTGGAAGCTACAGTATAGGCAATGGTACCAGTGCAGAAAATATTCATACCTTACACTGACTACTATCCATGGCCCAAAATTACATGCAATATTTCAAAAATCAGGAATTGAATTTCAAAAATCTGACAGAAGACTGATATCAAATCCTGAAGCAGAGAATTGAGGGAGGATCCACTATGGAAGAAGGAAGCAAATTTAGATCACTTCAGCATTAGCTACAATTCTGCCTGGCTAGCAAATAAAATTTAATTTTCTCAATACAGTATCAGCTACTGAAGCTGACATTAGGATCTTTTAAAAGTTCCTGACTCTCCTTCTTACTTCACTGACTACTGTGTGGTCTCAAGTCACATGCACTGTGGCCTTTTGTTGTTGTGGGACAGGATGCTGTGTGGTGTACTCTAGATTAGAGATTAGAGATGTGACCATCTTACTAACTATACATGAGGGGTTATCTGGAAAAGCCTTGTACCATCTTTATGAAGGACAGTTCTCCACGAGGATGTCAACAATTTGACTGTGAGTTTATAGCACCATAAACTAGTCAACTGAAGGGGCTTATAAAACTGCAAAACACAGTTTTGACAGACCCCTGGGCTAGGAGTTAATATTCACTGTACCTGTTGATGAGACTTGTTTTTCCAACATACAGGTCTCCCACCACAACCACTTTGGATATTTTTAACCTGTGAACACATTTTCACATTAGGCTAAGATTAAGTGTAGTAACCAGAATAATAACCTCTCCTCTATTTCTTTCTTTCTTTCTCTTGCTTGGGTCCTTAGTGATCCCTCCTCCTCAATTCCTTCCACATATACTACAGCTGACTCTTTATTCTCCTTGTTCTTGCCACCCCCATCTCCTTCCCCCATCCTCACAGTGGAATGTGGAGGATACCAGAAAGGCCATCACTAGAGGCTGTAACAGTAACATGAGCCATCCACAGTGAAGAATATGTGTATCATACATGCTCAAGGAAACTAGATCTAGGGTTTCCACACAGGGTGGTTTCCACACAGGGACAGGCTTCTACAGTTTTCTCTGTTGCTACTGTAGCTGCTGAAACAGCATAGCAGCAACAGGACTTCCACAGGTTCCCCTGTACTTTCCTTGTCCCAGTCCCTTGGCAGTAGCCATCCCCCCTCCCCTAGGCCATGAAAAATAGGCAATTGAATATTGTCATATTGATGTAACTTTATAACAATATGCATAAGCAGTTCTCTGAATTCCCAGCTTTCACTTTAAAGAACAGTAAGTCTCCAGCCTCTTTCCTTGTGGAGAAATAAGGGGAAAGACGTGTCTCCACAACAAAAGGGGCTAGACACTTTTTTAAATGAAAGCTGGAAATTCAGAGAACCTGTTTAAAATACTGTTATAACATTATATTGATATAACAGTACTGAGCTACCAGTTTTAACAAATGAAACATCCCTCCCTGGTTAGGGTTACCAACCTCCAGGTGGTGAATGGAGGCCTCCTGGGATGACAACTGATCTCCAGGCGACAGAGATCAGGTCACCTGGAGAAAATGGGCACTTTGGAAGGTGGACTCTATTGCATTATACCCTATTGAATTCCTTCCTCTCCCCAAACCCCACTCTTCTCAGGCTTCATCCCCAAAATCTCCAGGTATTTCTCAAGCCAAAGCTGACAACCCTACTCCTGGTAGCAAGGGAAGGAAATGGCCACCAAAGGGACAGGATCAGGGGAAATAGCTGCCATGTGAGCAGGAAAATCTGAACTTTCTGATCCACACGGCAACAATCCAGGCTTTGCTGGAATCTGTCCCAAAATTTCACAGGAAAGCAGGTTTGAGAAAACCTGGGGAAACCAGGAGGTGCACAAATGTACTATGATGCTATAGGGAATGTGAAAAAAATGCTTCCCAACACCACTGGACTCTGGGCATATAACCCATGTGGAAATGGCCAATATCTGGAACAGCCGTTTGGCCATAATGAAACAGCCTTTGAAGTCTATAACCCTCGGATCAAAAACAGCCTGGGACAAACCATACCGCCTTCTCCTCCCAGGAAGAGAACAAGGACTTCCCATGCTTTCATTCAGCCAATGCTAGCTCTTGGACTGTATTTTCAAACCCAGGTATGACTATGTACTATGCTTTTGTTGTTCATACTCTGTTTTCATAAGGTACTTCCACCTTTGCTCTGCAGGTAATTGCAGTCCAGGTTTCCATTTTTACTGGTGTAATTTGTTTTCTCATCAGAAATTTAGAATTGGTATTGATTTCAGTGAGTTCATAGAGGAAAGTGATAGACAAAAATGCAAACACCTGCCTGTTCACCTCTGGCTGTCGAAGAGGTCAAATATCAGGGATTCACTTCAACCAGGCTTGTTTAAGAAAAAAATGCCAGTTGATAGTACTCCATATCTGCCACCTTAACTTGGGGCAAAATGAGATAGCAAAGTACAAAACAGACAGCTTTAACCCATGAGGAATAATTCACTGGGCAGTTCTCTGAAATTAAGGAGAACTGTACAATAGGAATAAGGATTGAATCTCAGGTGGATTTTGTCCCCATGTGAAGTAGAGAAAGAGCTGGGGTACCATGTCAGTCTTTTATCCTAAAGCCAATGTGGGGCCTCTGAATATGTTGTTGCAATGGGTGATCTATTTAGAAAGGCAACTGAGCCTTTGGATTAGCAGTGACATCAAACCTGGCTGACTTTCTCAATATTTATAGAAAGTGGCACTGAATCAGCTTGTTAGAAATGGGAGAGTTTGCAAAATGTGATTGAATGCCTGAACACAAGACAGAAACTACTATCAGGTCCCTGCCACACAGCAGGGAAAACACCGGCCAAAGTGCGGCTAAATAGAGCCGCACCAAAATAGAGACGCCGCGGCGGGATCCCACAGATCCCCTGAGCCACGGCGCCGTTGCTCCCTGGCACGATCAGATGCCGGGGAGGAAGACACGGTCGGGAGGGGGAGGCTGCCGAACTGCGCATGTGTGAGCATGCGCAGTTCGGCCAGGAGCCGGGGATGCGCCGGCAAAAGGACGCGCCAGCGATCCCACGGCCGGCCTTGATGCGGACTTCCCGGATGAACCACCTCAGTAGGTGGTTCATTTTTGCTGCGGGGTTTTCGGCGGAAGGGCCGGATCAGGAACGGGCGCGCAACGCTTCCCAAATGTTGCGGTGGGATCGCGCCCATTTGCTGCGGCCCTATCCGGCTCTCTCCCAGCCCAAAACCTCTTGTGTGACCGGGGCCTCAGTTGGCTGAAATACCAGGAAGATAAGGATTTCCCTCTTTGGGAATCTGATGTAGGGCAACAGATCTACTTCCCTATAAGCCTTTATTCTTTGTCTCCACCTGTGCTCTACTTGTAGATTTGTAAATACAACACATATTTAAAAATAAGACTCCAGTGTTACCTCCTCAAAAACCCAACTAGTGCTATCCCTGGAACTCCTCACCACGTGAGGAAGTAGGGAGCACACTGCAGTAGATTTTAGAATGCAAATGTTGATTTGTCCTTGAAGTAAAACTCACCCGACAGCACCAGTGTTCCGTCGCTGACAGGCGCTCCCCACCTGGGTGTGGAAGTGATCTTTGAACTGCAGGCAGGCCTCAGGTGTGTACCACTGCAGAAACAAAGAGAGTAGGTGCTTGTCTCTATACAGGATGGTGTATAGGACTTCCAGGTGCTCCCCCAGCTCAGTCATAAGGGCCTCTTTGCCAGGCCTGAAGCACAATTTTATAATGGGTCTGTTTAAGAGAACAGCCCAAGTTGGTAAGGAAATGAACAAAAGTTAAAAGTTCACTTACTTTTGGGAAGTGGGAGATTATTCTGTCTCTGCTCACTGGTGGTACAACATGCAGTAAAGTGGTCTTCATTGCCCAAATTCAGTCTATCCTACAAAGTATGAAACATCTAACAGTTTCCAACTGCCATCCATAAACCCACCAGATTAAGGGCACCATTTTTTTTTTGCTGAAGACTAGAATAAAATTCTAATAAAAAAGACATCAGACAGTAACTGTGGAGGTCACAGAGAAAGAATAAAACAATAATCATACTTCACATTTATGTTTTAGAGCAGTGGTTCTCAAACTTTAGCAGCCCATGGACTAGGGTTGCCAGATCCCCACTGGCCACCAATGAGGGGGGGGGGTTGTAGGGTTGCCATCTCCAAGATGGGAAACTCCTGAAGATTTGGTGGTAGAGTCTGGGGAGGACAGGGACATCAGTGGGATACAATGCCATAAAGTCCACCCTTCAAAGGATCCTTTTTCTCCAGGATAACTGTTCTCTGTAGTCTAGAGAGGAGTTGTAATTCCAGGGAATCCCCAGGTTCCATCTGGAGGCTAGCATCCCTAATATGAACCTCCACATTGATTTAAAAAATTTGGCAACCCTAAGCCCTCCCCTCCTGCCCTGCTGGTTCTTACTATGTGCCAAATAACTCCTTCTCAAAGTACACAGGACAAACCACAAATGCCCCATGTAGGCTTCCATCTCCAAAACAATACAGTGACAGCTATATCAGCTATACTTTGAAAGCAAGTATAAGTAAAATGTTTATATTGTCTGTAAATGGCCTACAAGTTCAGGCCACACAGGTGGCCAAGTCTGCAAATAACATCCCAAGTTTTATTCTGACTCAGCTCTTCAGTACGTAGGACTTTACAAGTAAGGCAGCAATAAAGAAGAACAGGCTGCGGTCACACGGAGCATTAGCCACGCTACAGAGACGGAAGATAGGTGGATTTTCCAGGCGCGATCACATCGCCACATCTGGGAAGTGTAGCGCTCCCGTGGCTCACCTGAGGCTTCCCACCGAAGATGCGGTTTAAAAAACTAGTACCTCCGAGGTACTAGTTTCCGGAAACCGCGGGGAGGAGGAAGCGGCATTGGCCACAGGAGGAGGAGGAGCAGAAACGCAGGGGGGAGCAGCTGTCATGGCGGACCGGGGTGCCCTGCGGAGGGGGTGGCGAGGCCTAGTGGGGAGAGGCAGGCAGGCAGGTGGGCGGTGGCGGGGGCCATGGCGCTTCACTCCGGTGGGGGGGCTGGTTCTTGAAAGCGAGGCCGGGTTTCTCTGCTGTTGGGGCGGTGGCGGCAGGGGGGTGTCATTCCTGGCCATCAGCATCACCTCCCAGTTTTGACAGCAGAGGAGGAGGAGCACGCGTGTGGGTGGCTCTGCGAAGTGCCTTTCCAGACCTCCAGAGCGGAGCCGGGAGGATCTCCTGGACCACCACGGGGCGGGGGTGTCTGTCCCGTCGGCCACCTTGGCCCGGCCTCCAGTGCCGGCGGCCCGCGGAACCCAGTGCCCTTCCGCAGGGCCTGTCTGGGCCACGATGTCCCGCCGGCCATTCAGTAGTCCTGCTGCTGCCTAGCCATCTGATCGGCACCTCCCCCCTAACCACGGGACCTCCACGGGACGTCTGATCGCGCAACCGCACGTTATTTTGCCCGGGGGCAAACAGCCACGCGTCTCCCCCGCATTTTCCGGCCTGTGTGACCGGGGCCACAGTTGGTTTTTATACCCTGCTTTTCTTGACCCCAAGGAGTCTCAAAGAAGCTTACAATCACCTCCCCATCCTCTTCCCACAACAGGCACTCCGTGATGTAGGTGGGGCTAAGAGAGTTCTGAGAAACCTGTGACTGGCCCAAGGTCACCTGGCAGGCTTCACGGGGAGGAGTGGGGAATCAAAACCAGTTCTCCATATTAGAGTCTGCTGTTCTTAACCACTACATCACACTGGTTCTCTCTTTTTTATTGGTTAATAACTTCTAGATAGAGGACAGCTGAATGGGGGTAGGAAGGGGCCTGGAAACATTTTCAGAGCTACCCAGAGAATTAAAAAAAAGAAGAAGACTAGAGTCACACAAAACCTTGAAAGTCACAATTGGCTGTTACTGTCCACAGATTCAGAGCCCCATTTCTCTGTCTGTATGCTGAAATTCCTTGCACTGGAAAACAGAGAAAACTAGTTTCATTTTATACTGGAAATAACAAGGAATGGCTGCATTAAGACTGTACGACCTTGGTGCCACCCAACCCATTAGTGTTTGTATGGATGAGCTATTGGCTCCCACAACCAATCAGTTTATTTTCTGGACAGTGTTCTGAGGAGATCTGGAATCTAGGTGACTGTGGGCACTGCTCTACAATCTTTTTTGGGGGGGCGGGGAAGCAGACAACTATCCCCTTCCCTGAGAACAAGCCTCTGCCCTATTCCTAGAAAACCAAGAGGGTTCAGCTTTTATGGTAGCAAGACAGTCCTTACAAAGGGCTTGTGGATCTCCTTGATGACCTTCACAGATCCCCAGGGTTTTGTTCCTCTCCACTCAATTAGGGTTGGTCAAAAATATGGCTCTGACACCTGTAGCATCTGTATTATCAGGAAAAATCTCAATAGGATAGAACATAAAATGGCCTGTTATTATAGTTGAGGGTATCCAACCTCGTGTGCAATATATTAATGATTAAGGCAACTTATTGCTCCTGTAAAGAAAATCTGATTTTGGTTAGCAAGATCACACAATTACACTCAAACAAGCAATTCAAAGTCAAGTGGCTGCTCTGATTACCCAGTTCTAAATCAGTTTTCTTATAAGAAAAACCCCAGTCTGAGGGCTGAACTATATATTTCATTATCCTTGCATCATTGCTGGGCCCACCATGAAGACTTTGGAGCAGACGTGCCCAATGTGGAGCTGATATTCTGTGTTGACTTGTTCCAACAATCTGTGTAGATAGCAAAGGAACCATTTTTTTCAGTTACATGTGTGTATACCCCAAATTTCACCACCAAGACAGGTTTTCCTGCCGTATAATTTGTTGCAGGTTTTAAGGCAGAACTTGGCCTGTAAGTCATGTAAGGGTCAAATTTCCCACTTTGAATTGTGCTGTAAAAACCTGCCAGTATATCTGCTTTCCCTAACTTGTTCGTGCTTTTATTTCACGCAGAGGAAATTTGCAGTCTGTTGTTGAGGAGTCTTTCATTTCCTTTCGTAATAAAATACTGAGGTCTTTCTCCAATAAAAAGGTGCTTTTAGGTTGCTATAGTAAAGGTGAGTGGCATCTTAAACCCACAAAGCCACTGAAAGGGATATAGGAGTCTCCCCTTGTGAGGGCCTCATGCCAGAGTCAACATGCTGGATATCTATTCGGATTATTTTTTAACCTAGCCTAACCTCTTTATGCACAAAATGCCCAACTAAAAAACCTCATTCCCTCAGGCAAAGGGTTTTTAAAATGTGTTCTTCACAAGACAATATACATTCTTTTCCTTTGTTTAAAGGCAAATTCTTCCATGGAAACCCTCCTGTATCCGGACTGCATTTTGTGTAACAACTGTTGCAGGAACTTTAATCCAACCAGACAGCAGATAAAGGAAATACTTGTGATGTTAATTTTGTGTTCATTTTTAAACCAACCAAGGCAGGCAGATTTTCCATCCCAGGTGCCAAAACATTTCACCAAGAATGTTATTCACATTGGACAAAACATGGTAGAGAAATCAAATATACATTATTACCAGTGTGGGTCTTACATTTGTGTCAATTTAATCTACAGAAAAGCCAATTTAACCCTCACAAGAAGAGCACAAACCCTCATTCTGTAGCTCAGTTTTGCCAAAACGCTTGTTCGAAACAAAATAGCTGACTCACACTTAAGGAAGCCACAGGATACTGGAGTATGGGGTCTAACTTAAGCCCTTCTTTTACAGATCTAATACTTGCTGTTACATTTACAATCAGGATATTTCTCATTAGGATTCAGATTGTTCAGCAAAGAGGGAGAGAAACGACTCACCATGCAGCAGTTCGTGCAGCAGGTTCCTCGTCACATACACCACTCTGCCTGCTGCTGCGTGGCCATAGCAACCAGAGTGCAACTTTCAACACCTCCCTCCAAATAAGAAGGCGGAGCTCAAATGCAAAAAACAACTAACCAACCATTTGAGAGATCTTGCAGCCCTCTGAAACCTAGCCCTGTCAGAAAAACAGTCTACTACAGGGTGTTGCCATTTTACAGGATGTTGGCACTTGAAATGGACCATACTGATAATTTCAGACAGAAACATCAAATAACTCTGTTTTAAAAGAAAACAGACAAAATACTGAGCTCTGGGAGAAGGCAACACGTTTAATAGTTCTTCTCTACCCACAGTGGGTATCTTGCTGTCTACCTGCACCTGATCTTTACATTTATCCACCGCATCTAGTTAACGCCTGCTAAGGTATTCTGCCCTTCAGGTTTGGTCCCAGAAAGAGACTGGAATATTTTTTTTCCATGTTCTGTTAAGGGAAATGCCACATACAGGAGAGACAAAATTATATAGTTTCCTGTGGCAAAACCAGTAGCAACTGGCAAAAGTCATATTTTAGGCTCAAACTAGATGTGACATTGAGAGATCAGTTTAAAAGAGCTCTATTTTAAAACAGAACTCACTGAATTAGGATAAGAGAGTTTAATCTTTTCTTCTTGCACTGTTTTCCTGATCTTAAACTTCTTACCCACCCACTAAGAACTGCTTCACAGAGGAAAACAGAGGTTCAAAATAACACTTTAATCTGTTCATAGAGCAAGAAAATATTCCACCATCTCATCTGAATCAAACAGCTGTATTACTAGGCACTGTCATGTGAATGCAAAAAGGGCCATGTCAGTGGAGGAAAACAAATCTCAGTGGAACTACAGCTACTACGAGATATAGAATTGTCCACCCCTTGTAGACAATATGCAAGATGGGATTATTTCCTATTAAATTTAGTGATCAAGAACATGAACAGCTTTAAAAATTAATTTTACTATAATTTGTTTGCTGCTGGCTGTGGATTTTGATAACAAGGCCGCATCCATTTCTGTGCTTTATTTTAATCCATC